ATCTTTATAAAATTAATAATTTTAATAATAAAAAATAAAAATATTTTAAAAAATACACTTATTTGTTTTTAAACATGTCCTTATTAGTTATTTAATGTTGAACAACAGCCGCTAACTATTGTATAACCAAACAGTTATATTTATCGAATCCGTTATTTACCATCCGCTACCCACTTCTGCTATCCGTCATCTGCTATCCGTTAACCACTATCCACTACCCGCTACCCGCTACCCGCTACCCGCTACCCGCTATCCACTATCTACTAAATTTTAACCGCTGTACCAAATAGGTCCTAAGTGTAACTTATCTACCTGCTTTATTTTCCTAGAAAAGTGATACTAATAATTTTAGGGCTGTTTAGTTGCAGAAAATATTGTAAAGGGATATATGCATATATTGAGACTTTTATTTTCCATCGGCAACTCTTTTTTTTTTTTTAAGTAACAATTATACTAATAATATTAACATTTGTAATTTTAAGAAATGAGGAAGTGTTAAATATGAGATTTAAACTTTATGTTACTAGAAATGCCATCAATTTACCTTTTAAAGGGAAACGTGATCACTTAAGCCATGCAACTAATTGCCAGTTGGCAACATACGCGTAAGATTTGAGAGAAAAGTCTAATTTTTAGGACACATTTAATAGGATAACAAATGATGTACTTTTTTTTATTTAGTATATTTTATAATATATTTATTAAAAATTATTATTTTTAAATTTAAATTCAATATGGTAAAAATTTTACTTACAAAATTTGATAATTAAATTAGTGAGCATTAGTAGGTATATTGAATTATAAATTTAATAATTGATATACTTTTTTATTCAACATATTTTATAACATATTTATTAAAAAATTATTATTTTTAAATTTGAATTCAAGATGAAAAAATTTTCACTTACAAAATTTAATGATTAAATTAGTGAGTATTGATAGGTATATTGAATCAGAAATTTAATAATTAATATACTTTTTTATTCAATATATTTTATAATACATTCATTAAAAAATTATTATTTTCAAATTTGAATTCAAGATGAAAAAAATTTCACTTATAAAATTTAATGACTAAATTAGTGAATATCGATAAGTATACTGAATTAGAAATTTAATAATTGAAATACTTTTTTATTCAATATATTCTATAACACATTCATTAAAAAATTATTACTTTTAAATTTGAATTCAAGATAAAAAAAAATTTCACATACAAAATTTAATAACTAAATTAGTGAGTATTGGTAGGTATATTGAATCAGAAATTTAATAATTAATATACTTTTGATTCAATATATTTTATAACACACTCATTAAGAAATTATTATTTTCAAATTTAGATTCAAAATAAAAAAATTTCACTTACAAAATTTAGTAACTAAATCAGTGAGTATTGATAAATATATTAAATAAGAAAATGCATCAATCATTACCCCATTTAATAATGTTATCGTTATGTTTTTTACTGTCAAAATTTAAATGATTCAATTTAATAGTAATTAAAAACTAATATTAAAAAAATAATTAGAAACTTGTTAAATACAAATTTTTAAAATTGATAACCAAAATAATTTTTTAAAGTTATTATTAATTTTTTAATTTTAGTTTAATATTGTTAAATATTTTAAAAGAAAAAAAAATGGAACAACAATATTATTAACAAAAAAGTAACAAAAAAATATAGTAAAAGTTAAACTATATCAAACCATATTACATTAATTATTAGATAAAAGTAAATTTTCTAATGTTGAGGGCTCTTTTTCCATTTAATAATTCTTGTTTTCCAATCCAATTCAGTCTAAAATATAATCGAAGTTCCTTATTATTAAATAGGTCGCTAGTGATCCATATTGCATGCTCGGAAAAATAGCAGAAATCATAACCTAAAAATATTCTGAAAAAATCCAGTGAGCTATTTATATGTGGTCTGCAATCAAGCAAGTTGACACGAATAAACTTTCAATACATTCATCATATTCATGAAGTACCTAACATCAGCGCTTATAAGTGAACTTTTATCTAACAGTACAGACTGTTGTCATCACTGTCATATAGCTGCCTTAAATACTTACACCATGGTCCACATTTTTCTGCAATGTGGAAATAGCTTCCACCTTAGCTTCAATTACTAGCGTATCACCTACAAGATAATAGTGCCCAAGACTACTTAGGGATATCAACTCAGAGGAACCCCATCCATCTTTGAAGCTAGAGCCACTTGCAGTACCTGTAAGTGATAAATATATATAAGAAATTATTATCTTTCCAAATTACCAAATTAAAAAACAATTATTATCTTCCCAACAAAACTTCAAACATTAAATTGCGATGGAAGTCAAGTCACTATGCCATGTCACCTGTAAAGAACCGATGATAACTGGCATAGTACTGGTCCTTTAGTACCAGCGAACACCGAGCATAGGCTAGTTCACTCTCAGCAGTGCTATCCTTTAACTTCAAATATATCGATAAATATCCTCTAGACTTTGTCTTTGGATTTCCTTTTGGATATAGGTCCACAACCCTTAAAAAAAAAAAACAAAAAAACAAAAAAAAAAAAAGAGAGAAAAGATCAAGGTTCATTTCAGTGATATTATTGACACTAAAACAACACCACGTCGAAGGTAACATTTTACTAATTATGTCCGTACCATTCAAGTCCTCCAGAAATAAAACTCTCAGATTCAATCATTTCCTCTTTTTGCTGAGAGAAGTTACTAATTTTCCAAGAGAAGACTTTTCCTTCAACCTTAGACGTTGACAAACATTCTTGATTTTCAACATGGTATTGAACAATCACCTGTACTCCAAAAAAACATGTGTCTCCAACAAGATATCCATTAGAAGGGTCCTTAAAATCTTCAAGAGAGAGTAATCTTGGAAATCCTGATTCAGTTTTCACTGCATGAAAACATCTAATTTTTGCATTGGAACCTTCACGTTATAAAACACAATTGTTAGAAACAGTAATCAAGAAGTAACTAACATATATATAAGGTTTATATTATGTGATAGAATCAACTTATATTTGATTATCAAGACATGAAGAAAAATCCATACCTCCAATGGTACAAAACCTGTCTTGAATATGATCATACACAAAAAATTGGAAATTAGCAAGTACAGTCCATCCACGAGGTAAAGTTCTAGTTTCAACGATCATTAGGTAGAGAGATATATGTCCATCCCCATTTCTTGCTTTGTCACCGACTGGGTAAAGAACCAGCTTCCTTTTAAAAATTAAATTAAACACCATTATACATCAACAAATAAGAATAAATAAGGCTAAGTGCTACTTTGCAATGAAAAATAATATTCCAGTTAAATCAAACAAACTGACCATTTATATCCCCCTGCTTCAAAAGCTGTAGATTCCCACCTTTTATCTGTAGTTTCGGAAACTAGTATAGAAAGATGGGAGAACGAATTTACCTTTAACAAGTAGTTCATTGGTGCTTTGTCTATCACCGACATGTAAAAATATTTCAGTAAAAAGTTTTAATATCTCAAATTAAGTTCAAACTGAAAAAATGATTCATAAATGAGAGAAAATTCAAATGTGTGAAGAGTGAACCTCCATTCTCAACTTCCATTAGTAACAGTGTGTGTCTACAACCACAAGAAGATTTCTGCAATGGGTTAGGTACAAATTTAGTTCCTCTACTTTTAAAAGTGAAGAAGAAAGAGCAATTTTGTCCCTCTACAGAAAATAGATTATTCTTGTTACTTTAATTTTGTCTCTTTTCTAACACAGTCAATGATAAGCTTAACTGGCTTTTAAAAACTAAATGGTTAAGTACATTTTTTATCTCCCTACTTTCAAAATATGGTGCATTTCATCCCTTTACTTTCAAAAAATTATGTGATTTGTCTCTCTACTGAAATTGTTAATGGTGCCAGGGAGGCGCACACTTTTAATAAGACATAATTGCTCAATTTTTTTGGAAGTAGAGAAACAAAAATGTACTTGACCCTTCTACAATAATTGCTTTCAAGAAACTTAGGGGATAGATGTATGTTTGTGCAATGGGGAAACCATGAGATGGACATTCAAAAGCCAAATTGTTACCCTAGGAGAGAGTTAGAGATGCATCACTCATATTACTATACCCAGAAAAGGAAAAAGAAATCAGACCAGACACCTACCTTAAAACCGTGCAACTCTAAGCATGCATTACAACAACAACATCCAAAATCAGATGCAAAGAAAGAAGAAGAAGAAGAAAAGATCACCAATTCAAGAGGAAAGTAAACTGCTATTCAATGGACCTTCTGTAATTTTGTAAATAAAATTATCCATTGAAACAAAGAAATCATCCAAAAACTCAAAGCAGAGTTTACCGGGTTGCGAAGAGCTTGTTGATTCAACCCCAAACTGATGATCAAAAAGAAGCACAAGTCTTGCCCTTTTATAACAGGTAAAAATGGAATCAACATTTGAAGGTTCCTTCAAATTTACCGGCTGCATCAATTCCTGGAGGAGATAGGGGCAGAAGCTTGGGTGCCATAGGTAAAGCAACCACAAGCACAAATTCCTTCCGCATGAAAGAGGAGAAAGCTATGTCTGGAAACTTAAAAAATAAATCAATAAATAAATAAGAAAAAAGATTGCTAGCCCTTGTTGTACGTTCCCTGGTATTGCTTGAGCAAGGGATTGATGCAAGAGGGCCATGGTTCAATTGAGCACAGTTTTTGATATTCCTTTGAAACTGTATGTGAGAGGACCATTTACTAGACTTGATCAAAATCATGATTTTGTGCCATGCGAGAAAGTACATTATAAAGCGGAATTTCATTTAAAAAAATGTAATTCACCAAAAGATCAATGAATTACATGATCAAATAGCACAAAATTTGATGAGAGCTTCAAATTGATTATTGCATGAATATAGAAGGTAATC